GTCACGTGCGATTAGAATGAAAACATATCCCAGAGAACAGACCAACTCGGTAAATAAGTGTTATTAACCCCAGGTTCATTTTGCGCCGGAATTGTCCTTTAAACTTGGCGGTTCTGGATGTAGCTGTTCTTTTGTTGCATTTGCATCTGGACATGTACCGTTGCGCATTTGTTGTCTTTACTTTGTATGAGGCAGGCCCTGCATGTAAACTTTCAAAAACCTTATTGAACACTATTAAGGATTAGGGGCACTTTGTTGGTTTATTGTTCTTTTAATTCCTAGATTAATAAATATACCTTTTCCCAATATGTTATTTGTTTTGTCAATGGTGGTTGATAGGTGAGCTTAAAGCAGCATACAGTAATTTACTTGAATTGTGTTCACTTGAACTAGTAAATGAATCCATTATGTTTGCATCTGTACATCTGACACACCTCTGTGACCTTAATTAGTACGGATGCCAAAGGGCATTTGATGATAGGACAATTTGTTTCTTAACAGACTAGCTGAAAAAACAACATAAAGTGCTGTTCCACCCCGAACTTCTAGAGGGATGACCATTCATCCAAAAGATGTGGTTACTGGTTGGCTCCAAAGTCTTCCATAGGTGTTGATCTGGTGGCTGTGGTGATGTCACTTTAATACTTATTCAAGTGTCTCTTTAATTTGTCAGTCGTGGGCGTATACAGTAAACACTGTATCAAAATAAACAAGTACAAGTGACCACCAGTGTGCACCATTTGTAGTCTCTTCTCAATGCCCTACAAAATGATAATAAAGTGAAAGCAAAAACTATTGGAATTACCACTAGTCATTGTGCCTGTAGGTTTATTGTGTGTGCCTGGATTGTTCATCTATTTATCCACACAAACCTTTGTCTGCTCTTTATCTGCAAACATAGCATACTTGGCTGCTACCACATTGTGTAATAAACCAGCCTCAAAGTTCTGCAGATCCAAAAGTGATTTGACTGCCCTCGTTTCTTCTTTAAGCGGATTCTCTTCTTTCAATTTTTTGTTCAACTGAGGAAACAATATACTGTGTGGGATTTCTACTGCTCCACTCACTGCCTCTGTAGTTGTCTTTCCCCCAGGCTTGTTGCTTTGATTAAAATGGGGATACTGCTGAAACTGTTGGGTGGTCTTTTCGCTGCTTTGGAATTTAAAGAGTCGTTTTATTGCTTCCACCACTTGGCTAACGCCCTTTAGCCCTGAGGGCACGAGAGAGAGATTCAAATTTTTCTTAAATCTTCTCTGCGAAGGTTGGACCACTTTTTTGTGTGCTGTGTGCTTTGACTCACAGACCCACAGACTGATAAGAAGAGAAAAAGATGCAAAGATTAATGAAAGTGAAGGACAGATGGGAATATCACAGGCAGATTGAATAAGAATGAATGTCTCTAATTATCTTCAAATGAGAAGAAAACTCTCCCTATTGTGGACATTTTGCTCTTGTTCACTTTTGCGTTTGTTTGATTATTTGGATGACTATTCGGTGTTACCTTGGCAACAGCAAGCTTTCCAAAGTAACTATGGTAGAGATAAGAGCTGGAGCCCAGTAGGACTGCTAACACATCATTCCTATCACCTACAGATAATAATGACTCCTCGACTCTGTAAACATCTCATTAGATTTTGGAATTTGGTGTCTCAGCCTGTTTCTGACACTTATTTGTACATAATTAAATATCTGTTGTTCTTAGCATAGTAGCAGAGGTGCAGTAGTAAATACAGAGGTGGGCCCACCATGACTGATACAGTTGATCTGAAAATAGATGAATAAACTATTTAATGCATGATGTAACGTTTATTAATAAATTGAAATTTGGGTGCCTATTTGGTTTATACAATGTGATGTTTCAGTATGTGTGCTCTTAAATAGACATATCTTCTATCTGTTGGATGTTGCTTTTTATTGTACTTTGTATCTTTTTGTTTTTTTAGTGCTATCGTCTGACCGATGACGTATATGCTTTGAGTGGATGAAGTTGATCACCTCTCAAGCTAAATTCTATAGTTCTCTGATTGGACGGTTGAATGATTGAGGCAGCTCCTATATGTGTGTATATATAAAGTGCCATTGTGCTGCCCATGTACCTGCTGAAGGTTGTGTAGACTGACATAAATTAATAGTTATTTTTGTGAAAAAGTTTTGTTAAGAAAAACAAGTCAATGTGCCTTATTGTACAATCATCATAGAAACTGGTTAACATGCTACCACAGTATTAGTAGTATTGAAGTATACAGTAATAATATTGAACCCCTTGAATCTAATTGATGCAAACATTTAAAAAGGCACAACTGCTCTCACATGGCTGAAGTAAGCGTGACTTCCGGTGTCCATCGCTAATAAATATCCAGACATTTGCTGAATACATAAAAAAAATGACATCCCCTATAACTCAACATCTTGCAGTATTCATCCTAGATTTTTCTCTTCCATGTAGAAGTCATTCAGACATTTTCAGGCTAATTGTGAAGCGGATGCAGTATGACTTCTTCTTGATGCACCAAACTGTAAATAATGGTGATGAAGATAGAAATATATTTATATTGTGGCATAATAATAATAGCACCTTGTAAACTCGAATGTGGATCAACGAAAAAATATTAAAAATGTAATATTGTTTTCCCTTGGCCAGAGGTCTATCAGTCCAATGACCTTTAAGAAAAAGTACAAATATCTTTTTAAGATGATGCAGACAACAAAATGGGGAAATTATGGTAGAAGGATGTGTCGGTTTGGTAAAGGATAAGATTCAGGGGATTCATGTGAAAGGCTAAGAACTTCACAAGTGCAGTAAGACAAGCTTGTCTGTGAGATGGGAGGGTTGCACTACGTGACCCAGTTTTGTGTAGTGATGTTAGGAATGGTTCTCATATCTGGTTGACAGCAGTAATGTGGAGCCTCCAGCAGCCGTGAGCATAACCCAACGGCTCCAGCCAGTAAGCATGATTAATGACGTGGTCCCACACCAGCCCATGCAGTGCCCTACATACATACATCTGATAGTTTCACATATGTGTTAGCACGCTTTGTTTGGTTGATGACACAAGTCAAGATGAGGTGGTAGACAAGTGACGCAAAACACCAATACAGGCATACATTAGCAAACATCAATTTCCATTTTAATGCCAAATTAGCATCTTTAGCATACTTCTTAATCTTCAACCAACTATTTCTTTAGTAGAGATTTAATCTGATTTTGCTGCTAACTTACCAGGAGGCCAATTTGTCATATCACATATGTTCTGGCAAGGTGGCATCACATTACCGTCTTATCTGTCATATGCTATACATCTAGCATTTGCAGTTTGCAGGAGTTTGTCTTCTGGCATGGATTATTTACCAGTTACACATTCTAACATCAGCTCCTGTGCCATGCCAAATGTGGTCCACATGATGTACACTTTATGGGGTTTTGAAATTTTAAATGAGCTACAGTAGCATCACTCTGAAATGATAAGCCACTTCCTCAGTTGGACAGATTTACTAGTATCTTCACAGGATAACATTCTGTTATTAGCTGCATTTTGAATAAGCTGGAGCTTTTTGGTGGTCTTCTTGGGTAGCCCTGTCAGAAAGCCACAAATGCTGGTGTTATTACACAATGAAGTGAAAATGTGTTACATTTTGTCAGGCTATTGCACAATGTTACATTTAAGCTGGTTCAAAGTTACAGTCCTAATAAGTATTCTTGCTTGTACATTAAAGAGTATTGTCAGTGCCTCACAGCAAAGAATCTTAATTTTTGATTAGCCAACATTGCTCCTAATGCATAACCCCGCTCTTCCACAGTCTCTGAAAGGTTTTGATTGGTGGAGACTTGTCAAGGGGGCGACATGATACATTTTTCATGTCACACACATTTTACGTAAGAATGTTCCAAGGTAATGTGCAGATGGTTTGGAGTCATGCCTCATATGATCTTATGATATCAGGGTATAATGCTATCAGTAGGGTGGGTTAAGACTCTGCCATCCCAGGAACAAAAATATTGCTAATCTGTTTACACCTGTTTGAATTTGAGCCACTAAGAGGAGCTCACAACTATGTATTACATAGCCCACCTTTGGACTTCCCTTCAGAAAATGCTCTTGAAAAAATGTTATGTTTATTGCCCCCCCCCAACAGTGAAATGAAATATCTGCCCTAAGAGCCATAAGTCAATACGATGCAGTCAGTCAGACTCAGAGCAATCTGATAGCAGCAAGAGTCTCTTTCCCCCTTGAATCAGCTTTCCCTCTCGCTCTACTGTTTACCTTCCCTCTCCTCACCACTTCTGGTGTCCTGTGACAGATCCTGTTTTCTGGATGATT